TAGGGTTTAGGGTCGAGGATTTAGGGCTTGGGGTCTAGGGTCCAGGGTTAAGGTTTTTTTCTTTCTCCGACTGCTGTACCGGTCTACGCGCCAGAAGGCCCAGAGGCTAGGGGATAGGCGACAACACGGAGCGACCCGAACTTTCGACACCCCAGTGGATTGTTTGAGACCAAGGGTTTAGGGTTTAGGGTTTAGGGTTTAAGGTTTAGGGTTTAGGGTTTAGGATTCAAGCCGCGACCCTGAAGTCCCCGAGCAACCGGAGCAAGGAACCAACCCTCCACCCTCTGCGACGCATGCCGCTCTTGACCTTGGGTTGAGGGTTTGAGGTCCAGGGTTTCTTCCTGCGCTGCATCTTCTCCGGGGTGTTCTGGTCTTCTTGCTCCTTTGCGATCGCCGTCACCGTGGCTTCAAGCATCATCACATGCCTCAGCAATGCCTTGTTGACCTCGGCAGCGCTGCCGATGGGAAGTTCAGCTGACTGATCTTCTTGCCTTGACTGCAGCTGTGCCGGCTGCGCCTGGGCTGCATAACGGGCGTCGCGTGCCTTCTTTGCCCTGTTCTTTTCTTGGCGTTTCGACAGCTCAACGTCGGCCATCATGATGGCCCAAACCCCAAGCCAGTGCAACCAGAAAGCTTGAGCCTTAAGGGTTTAGGGTCTAGGGTTTAGGATTTAGGGTTTAGGGCTCAGGGTCTAGGGTCTAAGGTCTATAGGGAATCAGATTTCAAAGGCTCGCTGCTTTTTTGCAAGCCCCCTTTTTCGATGGAGTAGGATTTTCGGTTTTGGGAGCTAGGATTAGGGGAACCCTTGGGGATATAGACCCTCTCAATAAGGTCCCTTTTAAGAGAGCCAAAAGTAGGGTTCAGAAGGGGTACCCTTTAAGGGGTGCCCCTAATAATACTACCTAGGTTTATACGTTTTAAGGGTATGGTCTCAGCTGTGCGGCGTGGTTGCGGTGAGGGTGCTTCTGCGCGTACTCCTTCGCACTTGGCATTCTGAAGTCAAGATCCTAGTCTTCAGATATCCTCTCTGGTGCATCTTGGCACATCGGCACATGTGGATCGAAGTGACAGCAAGAATAAAGTGATACCCCTTAGGAATGCCATCACCTACATGATGGTGCCCGCTACCGGTGAAGCTGGAGCACATCCATCAAATATTAAGCTTGTCAAAAACCAAACAAGAATGGGGGTTCAGATCGCGGTGCTTTGAGGATGACCAATG